AAGAGCAGTCCAACAAACCGAAAATAATCTCACCTGAACCCAGCGCGTAAAAAACATCGGTGAAAAGAAAACGTATAGGAAACATCATGGAACAGCGAAAAAAAGGATAATTTTGAACACGAACTAAAAAGATCATTCCAGTGATAAAAACAATTTCAAATCCCAGCAATACAATAATTTCGAATCTTGAACGAACAGAAAATTTTCAGTCAGCAATTCTCAACAAACAACAGTAAAAGTATCGTACTTCTCGCAACCCAGCGGCGTGAAGAATTTTTTTAACCCTAGGCACAAATAGTTCTTTTAACAACAACAGCAAAACAACCTCTAATATCCCCTGCAAAATAATTTTCAAGCTTACCACAAAACAAATCTGAACCCAGCTGAGTGCATGATAAGTGTCAATCACTCGTTTGTTACGTTGTGCGATTGAACGTATCAGCAGCCAATCAAAATTGCCTGTTCCAATGGAGAAAATTCGTGCTGTTACAACATGATTGGTCAGATCACGAACAAAAAATAAAACGCCACTAAAATGAATTTTGTTTGAAAGAGTTTCTTGGTCAGAATAAAATCAAACTACAAAGAAGTCCGGGCCGATTTTTCAAGTATTAATGAAATTGCTCTGTGTTTCAACATGAAAATTTTGAAATGTTTGGAAATTTTCGAAAATGCAAAGGTCCCTTGCACTAATCTGAAGACTAAATATAATCTTTCCGTCCTCTCTTCTTGTAAAGTAATAATTTGAAGACAAGCAGACAATTTTCTTATTTCTCAAAATGTGCATCCTGTCAACCATTTCTGCAGGCCGGAATTTAAATAGAATATTCTTAAGAATCTTTGCAAGACAATTGGTATAATCACAAACAAAAAATGAAACAATAGTTCCTAAGTCAGGATAAAATCAAACTGAAAAGAAATCTGGGCCGATTATTGAAGTATTCATGAAACTGCGCTGCATCAACAGTTTCTTTTTAATGTAATTCTAGTTCAAGGTTTCAAATCATGTACCTAAATTCAAAATGACTTTTAAAAAAAAATTTCGAAAATGCAAAGGTCCCCTGTACTAATGAAAAGACTTCATGATGCCAGGGATAGAAGAATATTTTCCTCCTCTCTTGTGAAGTAATAAATTTAAGACAAGCAGACAATTCTCCTAGTTCTTAAAATGTGCATTTTCTCAACTTTATGAAAATCTTAACAACGACAGCGTCGAAAAAATTAAGAGTACTACCCTCCCTCCCCCACTCACCCACCCTGGGTAAACATACAGTCGATCCTCCATTAAACAACCCCCTCCCCTGAAAATTTTAATCCACACTCTTTTTCTTCCAGCGTAGCCAAATAATATAGAGTGATAATTTTAGTCCATACCAAAACCGCCTCCCATTTGCTACTGTTTTCAGTTTAACAAAACTGCTGAGTTCACCTGTAAAATGAATGCATAAGAATAGCTAGAAATTGTAAAGTTGTTGTACTTACAATTTATCCTTTCCTGTTTGATTGTGAACAGTGATCTCCTGATATTTCTCTGCATTGCCACGATGTGTATTCCTGAAATTAAGACAAACAAAGAGTTAAACTTTAAACTTTTTCCAATATGACCAAATAGTATTGACTGAAAATTTTAGTAAATGTCAAAACTTTAACCGCCTCTAGTAAGCTACAACTTCGGTTTAACAAAATATTTAGTCAACTATGGGAGTTTCAACTTTACATTGAATCAATAAAAAAAGAAATTGTTGGTGTACTTACAATGTATGCTTTCCTGATATTTCTTTGCATTGCTGCAATGTGCATTCCTGAAATTAAGGCAAAGAAAGTGATTAACTACAGACGTTTTCCACTGTAGCCAAATAAAATTGAGTGAAATATATCAGTCCGTAAAACCATTCCTCCCATAGACTACAACTTCGATTTAACAAAACGTCTAGTCACCTACGGCAGGTTCAACTGCACGATCGATGAATCAAAATTGAGAATAGAAATTGTTCAAATACTTACATTGTACCCTTTTATATTATTGATAGTAATGCTCCCCTGATTTTTCTTCGTATTGCCACGGTGAGTATTCCTGAAAATAAAACAACAAAACTCAAATGAAAACAAAGTTGATCTGCAAGGGGTCCTGAATGCATTTATCCTCCATGAAAAGTGAATACGTTATGAACTCAAGCTCGAAAACGCAACTCAGTCTTATAATTCCATTTATTAGAACTCGGAACTCGAACTTAACCTGCAAACCCTGACTCGAAATAAATCCAATAAACCCGGATTCCTTTCTGAACTTCCGGGCTTCAATTTTACAATCTCATCTTTCGGTCATATGTACCAGAGGATATAAAAACTGTAAGCAATTTCTTTGCTTTTTCAATGTACAATTCTTTAATCTCAAAGCCTTGAAATTCTAAATAGTATTCAGCAAGATATCATACCACTTTTGATTTCCTGAACAGGAATGAATTCAAGAAGGTCTGGACTTTGAACTGCAAAAGGTGGGTCATACAATGTGGAGCGATCCATGGTCACTGATCCAAAGTTGAAATTTATCCGTCTTAAAGTTTGCAGTTTTCCTTTAGATTGTTTTTCCTGAAATAAGATTACCAGAAGAAGTTGTAAGCATACTCACCGCAATGATGTGTCTATTTTGATTATGTATTGTGGCCGCTGTCCAGCACTATCACCGAAGATGATCTTGAGTACTACAAGGGAGAAAGAATCAAATTGAAAACAATCACGATAAAGGAGAAAAAAAGCCAAGTACAGACCTTGCATAACATGGTATCAAAAAGAACTCAATTTATTGTGTTAAACTTCATATTTTAACAGCCTTCTTCCACCAGTTTTCTTCTTTCATTCTAAATGCCTGCATCAGTAATTTCTGTTCAGCTAAAAGCCTTTAAATCCCGTTTGTGGATAAAATCAGAAAAAAAATCATACTGAAGTTTTGCTTCTTAAATAGGTAACCCCAAAACATCTCTTAGTGTTAATGGTTAATGTCTTCTGGTAGATACTGGAAATACTTATCTGTGTACAAAATATCACGGTTAACATGATACTGTTCGAGGGATAAGAACAAATGCAGCACTCACCGATTCTTCAGTAATGAAGAATTTCACGGCGCCAAGAATGTGTACAACACAGCCTACGATAGAGAAGATACATGTGTACAAAACAACAGTTCAATGTTAGCGTCTTCATTGAAAAATAACGCTATTGTTTTAGAGCGAAGAAATCTGTAAAGTATATCTGAAGTATTTTCAATAAAGACCGACATTTGCGGGAGATTCTGTTGCGAATACAACTCCTACAGCTTTGAAAGTTGTCGACATATTTCATCTCCAAAATAATGCAAACCCAGACATTCTTAAACTAAAAATTAAAACTTTGTTCAAAAGCACATAATGTAGCAAATCAAATACTGTACATAAACTTGAGGCTTTAAAGTAAGACAGAGAAATGGAAATTCAACGGTTTGCGTTTGAACTTACCTACTAGTAGACTTTCCAAGTACTGCTCCTAACCAAAGGTATCCAAGTTTGTAAACCCGTAGCTTTGTGATATTTTTTCGTCCATAGCTTGAATCACTTCAACGGCAACGTTCTTCGAGTGAACGTATGGTGAGATGAAAAGTTGCCTGCATAATTAATTGATTTGCAAATCTAAATTCACATGAATAATTACAGTTCTTTACCGAAGTGGATGGAGGTGAACAGTTCTTGCAGCCAAAAAGCGCGCACAAATTGCAGTATTTACTTGTGTGATATGTGCTAATTACTAATAACGAAACACCCCAAGGTGTTTGGTGAAGAAATTAAACAAAATGCATTGTTTGGATTTACACCTCCAAGTAATCGAAGACAAAGAAAGTTGACAACATCTATTGTTTTGCAGAGTCCGTCCGTCAGCCAGTCATACAAAACTAAAGGAGAGGGGGGAGAGGAAAGAGGTAGGTACATGAGGGAGGGGTGATACGAACGTTCGCTTTTAAGGAGCTGATACCAGTTTAAACCTCCCCTTCTTTGCCATACTACAGCAGCAACGAATAAACTTTGTTCTCGACGCAAAAGGCATTTCTGGAAACGTTTTGAACATTCTAAGGCCTAAAGGGCAAGTTAACTCCATAAAAAACTTACGGTAGCTCTGAACTCCATCGCAAACGTATTTGAGCAAATTGTACAACTGATTTTTTTTTTTCCAATGAGACAAAATGTACTCAGAGGGAAAACTTTGAATTACAGTCGAACCTCCCGTAAGCGACCACCCAAAATGTCAAGCCTAGGTGGTCGTTTACGAGAGCTTAGACCATACTGGGTCAAAATTTTGCCTCATTAGCATATTGTAACTGCAGAGACTTACCCCATGTTTTAAATGCTTTATTTACTGGAAAAGTTAATTTCGAGAAAAAATCCGATTCTTCCCATCAAGACATTTCCTTCCCCTGTACTATCCAGGAACGGGACAATGTTACAACACCTTATTATCCAGTTTCCACACTCTTATCTGTGAGGTGGTCGCGGTCGCTTACTAGAGCTGGTCGCCTACAAGAGGTTCCAAATATAGTGATTTGACTCGGCGAATTTTGGTATTTTGGAAAACTGGTCGCTTATGAAAGGTGGTCGCAACCGGAGGTTCGAATGTACTTGACATTCACAATAACTCTCAACGTCTACGTCTGGCTATTGATAAATTCTTCGTGAAATATTGTTGTTCATTCCATCGTCACAAGTTGAAATAGATTCAAAAGATGGCAGGTCTAAGCTAGTGCGAGCCACCTTAATTCTGATGGGTCTAAGTTCACTCTATGGAGTCTTGTAACTTTTCCAAGATATTGATTAATCGGTTCTTGCTTTTTAAATATCAGGCGTTTCATTCATAGAAAGTACACAAAAAAACAGAAATCTGATCCGTCCTGTTTCTTGAAAACAGGGATGTGAGTTGTCCACAAAATAACGTACATGAAACTCATATTGCTTCTATCAAACTCACACAACACATCGTTTCTATAAATAGCATTAATTTTATTAGATACTTGCCAAAGTACAAAGGTATTGGCAATTTTTAACTTCTCTGGACTATTTACATATCTACTGTACAAACAGGAAAAAAGAGAACAAATTTTCTACATTTTAAATATGAGCAGATTATATGTTATTTGTTTCTTACTGCTAACATCCAAATTACCGTGCTTAAAACATTCCAAAACAAACTCTAAAGATAATGTTAAGTGGTCAATTCAGTGAAAAGACCATGAAGTAACATTTTAACTGATCATGTTGAACAAAACCTACTTTACACGCTGAATGTAGAGTTCGTGTTACAAAATTTTAATTGAATAGACTACAACCTAATCCTGCGAATGAAAATTAAGCCAGTATCTACAGATGGTTCTGAAGTAGGTTTAAAAAAATTAAATCTCATACAAAAGAAGGGACCTCCTGCAGTTTTTGAGTCCCCTTATAAAGTGCTGACCTAACTTCACAGACCAAAATAACCCGAATTGCCAAAACGTAATAAGACTTCACGTTGATCTTAAGAATAACCTTTCAAGAGAGTTACTGTCTCTCCAGAAGCTTAAGATTTAACCAGTAAGGTAAAGTTGTAAGAGTAAGTTTCGAATCCCTTCAGCTCCAAAGACCATGCACTATTTACAAATTCTCCCGACTTATGCTGTTAGCAACGTATAGGATGGTAAGGAGAATTCAGATGGTGATATTGGAGCTTCAGGTTTCTCTAACATGACTATTGTTAAAATCCTATAAACATGAAAAGGAGTTTCAAATAACAAAGAAATAGTGAATCTGTGCAATTACAAAGTCTAACATTACTCTATCCTGAGGATATTAACTACCAAACATTACCTGGGACAAACTAATCCTGAATTTCAATGTACAGAACTTATGAGTAGCTTAATAATCTCAAAACAGAAACCAGAATCAAGCGATTAACATGATATGGTCTTGATGACAATGATTCTTATCAACATTAAATTATGACAATGTCAAACGTCCTCCACAATATTAAGACTGGAGAATGTCAAGCAAAATCACTTTTTTTCTTAGCAAAATATACAAATGGCATCCAAATGTCAGGGTTATTCATCTTTCTATTTACACATTTACAGTTTAGCATGTTTAGTGTAGACCGCATAATAATCTTTTCGTCTGCTTTTCTTAGTCAAAAATGTGCACAGAACAATTGCAAAGTTAAAACCTGCTTAACATTTTTTCTAAGGACATTTAGAATGAAATAATAATAACCAAGAGTACAAATCTCGAATAACCCAAACCAGTGTCACATTGTTCCCAATGCTCAAGTCTGTTCCTCTGGAAAACTGCACACAAATTGACATCTGGTGCAATTTAACTGATATTTTATCCACAAAATGAATGCAGCACACATTTCGAATGCAAAATGCTCTGTGGAGATTTCAAGCAGGTTTACAGCTCAGCAAAACTAACAAAAATAGAGGAAAAGATTTTCTTTTGTATACAGGTACACTGAAATGCGCTTAATGACATGATTGATGCGGTATAATTTTTCTTGAAAAATATTCATGTAGAAAACAAAAATACAGCCTGCTATAGGCTACTGCTCAATATAATCCTCTTATACGATACATTTAATAAATAACACAGCAACCTTCCTCAAACATTTTCAAAGTCAGCACTTACATTAATAAATTTGACATTAGAATACAGTGTACCAACCACATCAAAATATTTATTATATATGTATAGATATATATTCAGGGGGTTTGATCATTAGAAATTATCTCATGGCTGGCAAAATTACATAAATTTACAAAACTTTTTTTTTTTTGTGTGGGTAGATGTGTAACAGGGATATAAACTCTAACTTTGTACAGCCAAAACGTTCAAAGCATTGCTTGAACTACACAGTTTCAAGACAGATAAAATGAAGTGCAGAAACAGGGAAAACCGAGGGATAATTAAATTTCCTTAGATCAATTATTAATTATTTTAAGGAAGGTTTTTTGAAAGTTGTCAATGGAAAGAGCCAAGATCCAATACTCTGTACACACAAACACTGCGTTGTTTTTCAGTGGTACGCTGTTTATCTGATCCAGGAGCATATCCAGGAGCTACCATGTACAGTGCTTTGATATTTACAAGGGTGGTGCTTAATCAAGGCAGGCTTCTTCGAGTAACAACAGTAAACAACCAAGATTCTGCACATGCACAAGCTGATTTGGATCTCGACTCACTGAACAGTTCTTTAGCATTATTTGTCTGTTGGTATGAACCATATATTTCACTTTTGCAACAGCGGTTATTTCAATGAATACTCCATTCCCACCCTTCCCACATCCAAGAAGAAACAAACCAGATTATTAAAAAAAAAGCAAATTCATGTAATACCACATTACATGAAGATCAGAAAGACCCTAAATGAAAGGTTCTAAACAGACAAATAATACTGAGACCCTAAATGTAGAATTATAATTTAAATATAATTACGCATCTGAATGTGAAGCCATACCATCACCAGGATGGGCTTATGAAAAACTATATAACTAGTTACATAATATTATATATACTTCTCAATTTGATAACCTAGGACAAGAATTGTTACCCAGTCAGCAAAGGTTCCTTCTTTATTTCAAGAGACTGACAGGAGTGATGTGCTTCTCCAAACGCTCCCACTCTTCTATGGTTATTGGATAATTGGTGACAGATGAGGAAAAACTTCTGCTCACAAGGTGTCAGTCAATCCAATATTTGAAGAGCATATAAATAAATGAGAAACCAAACTTTGTGACAGTTTCATGCAACTGAATTGACCTTTGCTGACAGGATATCCATGGAAATGCTAGCAATTGCTCACTTCTACTTCATTTCTGAAGGATCCCTGATGAAACAAAAAAGAAAAAACAACATGAGGCTACTCAGAACTACTCAGATATAAACAATATCAAACGATACAAAGGATATCAAAGTATGAGCAACTATTATTTCTTGTCAAGCTCTGTTTTAGGGCAAGATGAAGAGAAAAAAAAATCAAATCTCACAATATACTTGGAGCTACCTGTTGAGCACTTACTGAAGGTAACAAATTGTCTTTTTTTTCTAATTTTGCCAGTTAGAGTCTACTTCCATCAACAATCAATATTCTTCCACAAACAAACCAATTCTCCTTTTAAAAAATAGGTCAGCAGTAAAACTCACAATAGCCCACTTGCCGAGTTAAACAAGACCCCTGAATAAAAACACTGAAGATGAATCTGTACAGTGCTGGCTCAAACTGAAATAAAGTATTTACAAATACCAAAGAAAATGTGAACTGTCATCTTTGAACTCTAAGCTTTGTTCCAACCTTCATGCATGCTCCTGCATGTATTTGTGAATATTAAATTTTAGTTTGGCGTGTTCGAGGTGTCTATGAAGAGTATTTAGATAAAGTTTTGAAGGACTAGTTGATTTATACTAAAACAATTAGATTGTTCACTCTCGATTTCTATGCGTGGTAGTTGACTTGGGCTGCGCCCTTGTCAACTATCACGCAAAAGAAATCTTGAGCTCATAATCTAATTGTTTAATAGAAACACAAGTGGAAGTTTGGGAGAATGAGAAATGCTGTGGGAAAAGTAGCCGCAGGCGAGTGTTTCCATAGCTTTTTTGAGTTCTCCCAAACTTTCATAGTGTTTAATAACTCAATAGAAACACAGAGAACATGTTTTCTATTTATTTTAGAAAACACCACGACCAAAAAAGGAAAACAACTTGTTAACTCTGATTATCAAAATGTAAAAATTCACCATCTTTATTAATTTATGTAAATTCTCTTTGCTCGCGCCATCATTACGTCAACAGCTCATGCTAGTTCTGTGTTTCTATCGAGTTATAGACGTACCATTTTTAACCAATCAGCGCCCATTTTCTTAGGACTGTTTTCTAAAGACAAACAATAACTTCTCACCAATAATGACTGACACTTTCCATGTGAATGTCCAAAGTGTATACTAATTCTATCCAGTGAGCTAGTAGATTCCGTTGTTTTCTTATACACAGGGTTATCAAAGTTCATTGATCTACGACTGCTGCAAATTGAAGAAAGAGTAATTATTTATGTGAAGGGGAACATTTTTGTGGGCACACTTGTAAAATCAACAATAAAATCAATCCAAAACCTTGGAAGCAGCAGGGCTTTGCTAGGACTTTACCATGTCAGACATTCATCATGCACAGAAAATGATGACACCAACTTTGCCAAACAAGATCTCAAAAGAAAACTAAATGTTCTACAATCACTTACTTTCTTTGTATTCTCTTGTATACCAGCCATCCAACAAGAACTCCAACGGCTAAGATGAGTATCACAACTGTTACTGAAATACCTACAGTCACACCTGAAGAATTAGACAGAAAAAAGAGTCAGTATTAAACAACTTGATCATTTTTTTTCCATAATGGCTATTGTGCATGCAGTACATGTAGCCACAAATAAAACTAGCTCACTAAACATACAAAACTATATTTCCCCCCGCAAAACATCAAACACATCTGCAAAAGTGTTTTTTACATGCAGTTGTCTTTAAGCTGCATCAGAATGATAATGGAACAAACTATATTTCAATTACCATAGGGGCTTACCAAATACCCCCTTCCTTCTGCATCTGCTCAAATTCAATTAGACAGCACTTGCATGCTGGAGAGTGAAACCATATGATGAAAAGATATTGGAGCTTGGTGGGACTTGAAGACACCACCTCCAGAATTCATTTCTCTGTTCTTTTACTAACTTACCCACAAATATTCATATACAACTACAACTATTGCTACATTCATTCCTCCCAACAGTGTACTTCACTCACCAATATCCTCTTCCTCTTGGCCTTGTCGCCATCCAAGACCATCGCTAGTTGCAGAAGTGGTTGGCGTTGGAGGTACTGGCAAGTTGCGATTTACTTGACAGTGTCTTCCTGTGTAATACCGTGAACATCTGCAAAGAAGTAATAGACCAAGTTAAGCGTTGCTAATCAGACGTACTACACCTTCCCCTTTCAATCAATTCCCCACAAGACTTCTTGAAGATCTGATCGGAAGCATTCTCTGTAGTGAGTTCACATGGCAGTTACTTGTTACTTGTGCTCGTCTTAAACTACCAGGTAACAATAAATTGAGTCTCAATTAGCAGGCAAGAACACTAATTAAAGACGTGTAACTCTCAAAAGAAGATAAGATGGTTACCAGACATCAGAAACAANCGTTCAAAGCATTGCTTGAACTACACAGTTTCAAGACAGATAAAATGAAGTGCAGAAACAGGGAAAACCGAGGGATAATTAAATTTCCTTAGATCAATTATTAATTATTTTAAGGAAGGTTTTTTGAAAGTTGTCAATGGAAAGAGCCAAGATCCAATACTCTGTACACACAAACACTGCGTTGTTTTTCAGTGGTACGCTGTTTATCTGATCCAGGAGCATATCCAGGAGCTACCATGTACAGTGCTTTGATATTTACAAGGGTGGTGCTTAATCAAGGCAGGCTTCTTCGAGTAACAACAGTAAACAACCAAGATTCTGCACATGCACAAGCTGATTTGGATCTCGACTCACTGAACAGTTCTTTAGCATTATTTGTCTGTTGGTATGAACCATATATTTCACTTTTGCAACAGCGGTTATTTCAATGAATACTCCATTCCCACCCTTCCCACATCCAAGAAGAAACAAACCAGATTATTAAAAAAAAAGCAAATTCATGTAATACCACATTACATGAAGATCAGAAAGACCCTAAATGAAAGGTTCTAAACAGACAAATAATACTGAGACCCTAAATGTAGAATTATAATTTAAATATAATTACGCATCTGAATGTGAAGCCATACCATCACCAGGATGGGCTTATGAAAAACTATATAACTAGTTACATAATATTATATATACTTCTCAATTTGATAACCTAGGACAAGAATTGTTACCCAGTCAGCAAAGGTTCCTTCTTTATTTCAAGAGACTGACAGGAGTGATGTGCTTCTCCAAACGCTCCCACTCTTCTATGGTTATTGGATAATTGGTGACAGATGAGGAAAAACTTCTGCTCACAAGGTGTCAGTCAATCCAATATTTGAAGAGCATATAAATAAATGAGAAACCAAACTTTGTGACAGTTTCATGCAACTGAATTGACCTTTGCTGACAGGATATCCATGGAAATGCTAGCAATTGCTCACTTCTACTTCATTTCTGAAGGATCCCTGATGAAACAAAAAAGAAAAAACAACATGAGGCTACTCAGAACTACTCAGATATAAACAATATCAAACGATACAAAGGATATCAAAGTATGAGCAACTATTATTTCTTGTCAAGCTCTGTTTTAGGGCAAGATGAAGAGAAAAAAAAATCAAATCTCACAATATACTTGGAGCTACCTGTTGAGCACTTACTGAAGGTAACAAATTGTCTTTTTTTTCTAATTTTGCCAGTTAGAGTCTACTTCCATCAACAATCAATATTCTTCCACAAACAAACCAATTCTCCTTTTAAAAAATAGGTCAGCAGTAAAACTCACAATAGCCCACTTGCCGAGTTAAACAAGACCCCTGAATAAAAACACTGAAGATGAATCTGTACAGTGCTGGCTCAAACTGAAATAAAGTATTTACAAATACCAAAGAAAATGTGAACTGTCATCTTTGAACTCTAAGCTTTGTTCCAACCTTCATGCATGCTCCTGCATGTATTTGTGAATATTAAATTTTAGTTTGGCGTGTTCGAGGTGTCTATGAAGAGTATTTAGATAAAGTTTTGAAGGACTAGTTGATTTATACTAAAACAATTAGATTGTTCACTCTCGATTTCTATGCGTGGTAGTTGACTTGGGCTGCGCCCTTGTCAACTATCACGCAAAAGAAATCTTGAGCTCATAATCTAATTGTTTAATAGAAACACAAGTGGAAGTTTGGGAGAATGAGAAATGCTGTGGGAAAAGTAGCCGCAGGCGAGTGTTTCCATAGCTTTTTTGAGTTCTCCCAAACTTTCATAGTGTTTAATAACTCAATAGAAACACAGAGAACATGTTTTCTATTTATTTTAGAAAACACCACGACCAAAAAAGGAAAACAACTTGTTAACTCTGATTATCAAAATGTAAAAATTCACCATCTTTATTAATTTATGTAAATTCTCTTTGCTCGCGCCATCATTACGTCAACAGCTCATGCTAGTTCTGTGTTTCTATCGAGTTATAGACGTACCATTTTTAACCAATCAGCGCCCATTTTCTTAGGACTGTTTTCTAAAGACAAACAATAACTTCTCACCAATAATGACTGACACTTTCCATGTGAATGTCCAAAGTGTATACTAATTCTATCCAGTGAGCTAGTAGATTCCGTTGTTTTCTTATACACAGGGTTATCAAAGTTCATTGATCTACGACTGCTGCAAATTGAAGAAAGAGTAATTATTTATGTGAAGGGGAACATTTTTGTGGGCACACTTGTAAAATCAACAATAAAATCAATCCAAAACCTTGGAAGCAGCAGGGCTTTGCTAGGACTTTACCATGTCAGACATTCATCATGCACAGAAAATGATGACACCAACTTTGCCAAACAAGATCTCAAAAGAAAACTAAATGTTCTACAATCACTTACTTTCTTTGTATTCTCTTGTATACCAGCCATCCAACAAGAACTCCAACGGCTAAGATGAGTATCACAACTGTTACTGAAATACCTACAGTCACACCTGAAGAATTAGACAGAAAAAAGAGTCAGTATTAAACAACTTGATCATTTTTTTTCCATAATGGCTATTGTGCATGCAGTACATGTAGCCACAAATAAAACTAGCTCACTAAACATACAAAACTATATTTCCCCCCGCAAAACATCAAACACATCTGCAAAAGTGTTTTTTACATGCAGTTGTCTTTAAGCTGCATCAGAATGATAATGGAACAAACTATATTTCAATTACCATAGGGGCTTACCAAATACCCCCTTCCTTCTGCATCTGCTCAAATTCAATTAGACAGCACTTGCATGCTGGAGAGTGAAACCATATGATGAAAAGATATTGGAGCTTGGTGGGACTTGAAGACACCACCTCCAGAATTCATTTCTCTGTTCTTTTACTAACTTACCCACAAATATTCATATACAACTACAACTATTGCTACATTCATTCCTCCCAACAGTGTACTTCACTCACCAATATCCTCTTCCTCTTGGCCTTGTCGCCATCCAAGACCATCGCTAGTTGCAGAAGTGGTTGGCGTTGGAGGTACTGGCAAGTTGCGATTTACTTGACAGTGTCTTCCTGTGTAATACCGTGAACATCTGCAAAGAAGTAATAGACCAAGTTAAGCGTTGCTAATCAGACGTACTACACCTTCCCCTTTCAATCAATTCCCCACAAGACTTCTTGAAGATCTGATCGGAAGCATTCTCTGTAGTGAGTTCACATGGCAGTTACTTGTTACTTGTGCTCGTCTTAAACTACCAGGTAACAATAAATTGAGTCTCAATTAGCAGGCAAGAACACTAATTAAAGACGTGTAACTCTCAAAAGAAGATAAGATGGTTACCAGACATCAGAAACAATTCCTGATGTCTTGTTACTGTACTCAAGTTGGATAAATAGAACTTTCTTGAGATAATTATACACGTAAACAGAAGGCAGTAGTGCTAAAAAGCTGTGCAANCCTTAAAAGGCATACGCTAATGAAGCTAAATGTAAACAATGGCATTAGCTAGATCCCCTATTAGAAAGAGAATACTATTGTTGAACATGCACTGGCTCTGTTGCTCATTTGAAACCTAAATAAACCCCTAATTTGCAAGAAACACAGGTAATACTGTCTAGTGGGATAGTATGGAGCGAAGGTCAGGTTGTTTGAAAATTAGAGAAACCACAGTGACACAAGTAGCAGAGTTGAAGACGTAACTCTGTCACATTTTAAGACACTTGCTTGTTGTACCTTTTTGTACAAATGTGTACTGAAATGGAGAAAGGCCAGGCATTTTACTCAAATACCTACCACACTTAAAAGAAGAGAAGGAGGCAACGAATGCACACAGAGACAGAATCTTCATCATGGAAACAATGAATGTATATAAACTGTGCTTGCTGAGAATCAATCAACAAACCCAACTGGTACCTGTTGTATTGCAGGTTCTCTGATCATAAAGCAGCTGAACACCAGGGGGACAGTGACAAGAATAGCCATCCTGATAGATCTCAATATCCCTAGGGGCTAACAAACAGATATGGCTGCAGCTGTCAAGCTCTGACGTGGGACTGCATGGATTCTCTCCTGTTGTTGTGTGAGCAAAACAGTAAATAATCAGCATCACAGCTCCATTTGGATTGTCCCTTGAGTTCACAGCTACATTTGTAGCTGTGAACTCGTTATTAAACAAAAATGAGTGAAATGTCACACCACTGACATCAGCACCCGATACAAGGTTTTGCAGCATTTCTGGTTAAAACACATTCTAAGTTGGGTCATACTGTAACTGAGTCCAGTTTGGCACATGAATGAAACAAGGAAAAACTCCGTCCCAAAAAGGAGTAAGACCATGGACCTGATAATTTTATTACACACACAGTCACAAAAAAGGCCAAAACAACTGTAATAGTTTAGTGAACAGGGACAAAATAATGTTGCAGCAAAACAAAATTTGGAAACTTGGGTATGCATGAACAAGCAAATCAAAATTAAAAACATTGTTAGTAGTGAATTCTACCTGTTGGTTGCCTCTGTCGATGATGAACATGAATGTCCATTGGTGAAAACAAATTCTCTATCACAACAGATCGCTCTTCGCCAGTGAACTTATTCGCCTTGTTGATTGCATTGTGATGCCAGTCTGTCCAGTAAATGTGGCTCTGAAATATTGTCAGGGCAAATGGATGGTTGATATTCTCACTCAGAATGATTCGCCGATTTTTTCCATGTAAATCTGATGACTCAATAGTGTGAAGTTTTGCATCTGCCCACCAGATTCTGTCTATGGTGTAATCTACGGCCAGAGCATTGGGCCAGAGGATGTTTGTGCTGACCAAAACCTGCCTTGTGTTGGTATCACCATTCATTCCACACTTTTCAATCTTGGGAGTTTCACCCCAGTCAGTCCAAAACATATAGCTGCAAAACAGAATTAAAAAAACAGTCTGTAAGAAAGTGCACATGTTTCTTCAACTCAATAAAACAGGGATATGTTTTCCATTGCTTAAATAGTACACTTAGAAATCTTCAGTTAAACAACAACAACAACAACTTTATTTGCACTCAGCTAGAAATTAGAAATTAGATGAAAAAAAATAGTCAAAATAAAAAGAGTACATGGCTGCCCAAAATAACCTTAATGGGCTAATAAGACAGAGCAGCCATCCTTAGTGATTTAAACTAATTATTTATTTGGGTCAAACAAGAAAAGAAAATAAGAAAAAGACGTGCAAGAGCAAACACATTCAGTTAGTATACACACTCCTCTTGATAATGGAGGACATGGGTCACAAAACAAGGACCACTTCATACATGCACCTCTGCTCACACCAATGATCTCAGAAAGGTCTGGGACGAGAGAGAAAGGGAGGGGGGGGCTCAAAGCTCTCTGGAATGCACCAACCAACATACCCATCACTTAACTTAGTGCTGAGGAAGGCAAACACAAGTAATTAAGGAATCTACCCCTACGCACTGAAAACAGTGTTGTCAATTGAAGATTGCCAGGAACAGATCACTTCAACATACCCAAGAGCAGGATGCACCACAATAGCCCTTGGCTCCTCCAGCCCTGTCGTAATCAGTTCAAGACGATTGGTGCCATTGAAATCAGCCACCTCAATCATGTCTGTGCCGGTGTCTGTCCAGTACAGTTTCTTGTTAACCCAATCAACTGCAATTCCATCTGGAGTATCCAAGTCTATTTTAACCAGAACATCTACTTTGGGGTTCTCCTCCATCTTGGCACGATTGATAGTTTCATTACTGACATCTGTCCAGAATATGTATCCACTTTCAAAGTCGTAATCCAAAGCTATTGCACCTCGCTGTCCTGGTACTAGTTCCGTATAGTCTGAAGAGTCAAACAGGATGCGCCGGATATCTTGACGGTTTGCAAATATCAAATACCCTGGTTCACCTGCAGGAACAAGGATCCAACTCTATGAGTTAACTTACAACAAAATGAATGTCAGCATTCAGCCAACCCCAAATACCAATGCCAATTCCCCCGAAAAAATTTTTTTCCTCTGAATACTAAGCAAACATTCTTCCTTTACTCATCACAATTTGGCCACACTTACTGAATGCAAACTAAATTGAAAAGCAGCATATCACATGGTTGAGATAAATCTGTTCATGTGAAAGAAAAAGGCAAACTTGATTGAAATGATTGAATGCCTTCTTGAATAGAGGAACAAGTTTTTTGATTGTTTCCTGACTAGAATGAAAACATCAAACATGACAAAATATATTGTTATACCTCCCAACTCAAATACGTTTTCGATTAGAGGAGAGCGTGCCATGTGTCGTGAGTCAAAACTCACTAACTCCCTAAGGAAACAACAAGTTTGGACTCCCACGTGATCAGGTTGTGCTCCTTGAAACCGAGGCAAATTTGTGATCCGGCCTACATCAAGAAAACAATTTCTATGCAGTTTTTTTTTTCTATTTTTGAGTTGGGAGGTTTAACAAAACACTTAATGACTGGTCCTGTGGGAAAGAGTGAGTTTTGTTTCCCCTCAACCTCAATGTTCCCCTTGGCTGTCACCTCGGCTTTCGCCTCCAGGAACATTGAGGGTCTCAGGAAAAAAAAAAAAAACTCACTGTTTCCCTTGGGGCCAGTCATTAAGAGCTTATTGACGAATCTCAAACCCTTCACATAGGACACATTGCATGAACACTAAGGCTCTCTAATGTGTCTGGTTTATTACATGCTATCCAAAGGATACTTTGCAATGTCACAGAGAAAGAAACAAAATCGTATGTATTTTATGTCGACCATAAAAGTACAATTAAGTTAACTATTAACTAATTGTGATGCATCAAATGAACATCTGCCAACCTATTGCTTTACAGCTGCGTTTGTCCGGTTCCATGAAATAGCCTGCTCGGCAAAAACATTTAAAGCTTCCTTTTGTGTTGAAACACAACTGGCTGCACATTCCAGGGATTTTACACTCATCAACATCTACAAGAACAACAATCAGAGAATATTACCAAGGGTACACAGTCTGAAATATTGATCATTGTGTGACTTCTAGATTACAGGGCTAGAAAAAGGTGCCTTCCAGTTGTCCCGGAGAAGTAGATGCTCCTTCTGGGCAAGTACCTTTTCATTCTAACTTGCCCAATGGGCAAGGGATCAGGCAAGTCGTCTGCCAACTAAGTCATTAGAAGAGCAAACTAAGACTTGCCCAGGGCAAGCAATGTTTGAGAGATACTAGTCCCAAGGGCAAGCTGGAATTCAAGTTTTTTTGAGCCCTGGATGAGTAACTATTTATTAACCTAGAGGGGCTTTACAGGACAATTTGACTTGGTCCTTATCTTTTAATCTATTTCCATTCCTAATTCCCATTGCTTTCAAAACTTATCTGGAACTCCGAAGGACACAGTTACCATGTTAATTTACCACAGTGACCAATCAAACCGGGTACCAATCAAAAGTTGTTTGATGAACATTTGTTTGTCAAACATGTACCTTGACAAACTCTGTGGTTGTCCTTGTCTATTTCAAAGCCTTCACGACAGGAGCAGACATAAGATGTTTTTGTGTCATTGCAGAACTGTTGGCAATGCCCATTGTGATCAATACATTCATCAATTCCTGAAACGAGAGAACCAGTTACATTTAAAAAAGAAACATCGATACAAATTTTCAGTTAACAATGCAAACATTCACTCTATTCTTTCAGCACATAATGGGTTATGTTTTCCGCTTTCCTACATACACAAATCCACTAAGAAAAGAACTAACCGCAAGACATGGGCTCATCCATTTTATTAGCACAGTCGTAGCGCTTATCACAAACTTTACTGTACGGAACACATTGGCGTGAATCTCCACATCGGTATTCGTCATCTTTACAAATTTTTGTGGGTTCAGCTACAATAACAGAAAACATACATGAACTGCTACTTATAATACTCAAAACAAAATTATTGAATCCACTTTCATGTTTGAGATTGTCGTCAACATCTTTCAATGACATTTCAAAAAAAAAAAATCAATTTTGTGGTACATCAAGACATCATTTCCTTACTTTCCCTAGCTGTCACCTTGAGAAAGTGTCGATATTTCAAGGGGAATTAACTTTTCACAAGGTTCTACAAAATGTTTTAGTATGTACATGTAATGATAGTTGAAAATTCTGACCAAACCTCCTTAAAAACTAACCTACAGTTGTACAAGTATCAAAAATAGCTACAATGCACAAAACCTCGTCAAATAAACAAACCATGCAGACTACCTACAGGTAAACATCAGGTACCGGTAAATAACATTCAAAAGCAAGAATTATAAACCATCAGGTTAATTAATCAACTTACGACAATCCCGTTCATCAGAGTTATCCAAACAGTCATTGTTTCCATTGCACTTCAAATATAAATAGATACACCTTCCATTGGTGCAACTAAAGTCACTGGTACCACAGGAGGTAAGATCTGTAAAGCAGCAAATGGAACACAATCAGAAGATAAAACATACAAGCTGATGCAACAGTAAAGAGAGTAAAGCCCATACAGCTGAGCTTATCTCCAGTTTTTGTAGCACAAAGTGGCTAGCAGTATTTCTACTCCCCTCTTGATGGGACGCTAGT